GAGAAGGTCAAGTGGGTCCAGCGGCGTGGAGGAATTGCTTTGATTGTGGGGGATGACACCCGAGGAGGCAGCCTCGTCACGATGTATGCACGGGGTGATACATCCAACGTGACGATCCCCGCCCTCTTCACATCTCATACTACGGCACATCTGCTGTCATCCTTAGTCCCCCCGCAAGGGGAGGACTCGGGCGCAGACGATGGGTCGGGAACACACACTAAAATCTCCACTCATGGCAGTGCCGGAAAACAACGCATGGACGCCACGGCGACTACCTCGGCCACTGCGTCGCCAACTTCTTCAAGTCACAAAGCAGTAGTTCATGACAGTGCGGGGCCTCCAAAGCAGAAGTCTGGGCTCTTCCACGCTCTTCTGTCATTGTTCGGTCTCAGCAACCATGGTGGTTCCGTCTGGTATCCACCGGAGGACAGCCGTCGCCCGCCAAGTAGCGGAAACATCAATTGGATTTTACTAGATCGCTGGGACGAACAGGAGCCATCACAGGACGAGACCGAGCGAAAGACCCCCCGAACGAAAACCGATGGTGTTGCCGAAGACCTCAAAAAGTCAGGTACCTCGTCGAGCAGTACAGACGGTGATGGATTCGTCATTGGAGTGCAGGACTGGAGAGATCCGGACCTAGTAGTTCCGAAGGGCAGCATTCTTCCATCTCCTACCAGTACAACCGACGCCGCCGGGAATAAGGTGCATACTGGCGTCAAGGGCTCGCACCCCACTCCCGCGACCTTGAAGGGTGGCAGCATCACTCCTGGAAGTGGCGAGTATCGCACTGTCGAGAAGTCTAGCATTGAAAAAGAGTCGAAGATGGAGTACTCCGGCCACAAGTCTGTGTATGATGATGTGAAACCAGGATCCTCTTCCCAGCGCAACGGTTGGTTTGCCAGGCATTTCTTCTGGGCAGCGGACAAGCCAGCTCCGAGCCCAAGTTCTAGCGCCCTTGGGCAAATCACTTCCGAAGACCAGAAGCTGCATGATGCGACAACTCAGAACGGTCAGGGTGTGAATGCGGCTGAACACGACGGCTTGTGGGTCACTCTCACGCCCACAAGCATGTCGACCAGTCCTTTCTTCGATACTCTCCTCGTTTTGGTTGTCAGCCCGTTGCTTACACTGACTGTTGTCTACGTTCTGTTGTTGCTGCGGTCTCGTATCCGTCGCAGACGGTGGCGCGCTCCAAAGTCCCTCGTTGACCGCCTCCCTGTGCGGACTTACCACACTATTGCGAGGTCGACCTCTTCCTCGGAAACAAGCTCGCCACGATCTGTTAGCCCTGGTCCAGTGTCGCCAACCTCGCCATTGTTGGGTGCGAAGAGCCGCTCAGGAGCCCAGCTGTCTCGGTCGCAGCGAGAGTCACATGTCTCGAATGCGAGTGCATCTAAAATGTCGTCATCGAGGAAGGGCAAATCGGGATCCACTCTGTGGCGCCGGAAATACACCGGCCGGCAAGTGGAATGCGTTGTGTGCCTGGAGGAATATGTGGATGGGCAGAGCAGGGTGATGAGTTTGCCCTGCGGCCACGAGTTCCACGCGGAGTGCATGTGAGTAACGATCCTTGAGTCCGTTGTCAATCATGCTCGTACTAATGATCTTGTAGCACGCCTTGGCTGACAACCCGCCGGCGAACTTGTCCCATCTGTAAAGGCGACGTGGTTCGGTCAATGTCGCAGAACAAAGCGGCGGAGGCTCACGAGTCGGCAGAGCCGATGAACGAGGAAGATTACCACCCTGACGCATATTCTCAGCATAGTTCATCCTCAGCGCCGGTGCCGATTAGCGGAGTGAGCGAAGACGAGACCTCCGATCTCGAGCGGCATGCTGGCTCTGAAGCAGGTCTTCGCGAGGGACAAGCATCCTCGGCACCACCGAGTTGGAGGAACTTTGCCGCACTGAGCTACTCTGCTCTTAGTGGCGATACGATCTGGCATCAGGCGCAGACGGACGGCAGCCGGTGAACTGCGTTGTCTTGCTTTATATTATTAACCGCCCCCTGGTTTCATTGGATGTATGTGTTAGTGGAGGTGGGGGTATTCTGTCTTTGCAGCGTTTTCTTTTGTGAGCAGCATTAGCGATGTTTTTGACACCGTCCTTGCTTGGTTGGCGTTTGATGGTTTTTATGGAATTCGTAGCGACATTGGCAGGAACAGGTTCAGTTTCAGTTCTGCACTCGCTTGTAATATTACTAGACTATAAGTCAGTGGGAGTGACTATTCCCCGCTGATGCTTAGGACGTATCCATCCATTGCCTTGGACATGAGTTGTAAGTATTTGAGACAAACTGCACCTTTATGACAGCACTCTATAGCTGCGTTGTCCTGAGTACCACAGGGTGTTTCGATATCACCGCTATCCAAGTAGATGACATCCTTCCTAACCATACACATCCCCCATTCCTTTCCAAACAAAACCAGACTACTACTAAAAACGTACACCCCTAACAAAAAGTAATCATTTACATCCATCCATCCATACTTACATACCCACACACAACAACTTAGTAACTATTAACTAACTATACATACTTCCCCCATCACGACATCAATTCAGGCACACACCCCCAACTACACCCAACCCTCCTAAACGGCAACGGCCTCAACACCTCCCCAGACGCCCTCGGCCCCTTCAACCCATTCTCATACGTACTCACATCCCACCACTCGATCCACTCCGTCCGCGCGAGGACGAATCCCCGATGACACGAGGAACAATTCCGCCCTCCTGCGCTACGAACCTCCTTCGCTTGTCGGAGTAGGCGGGTCATTAGGGCTGGGAAATTCTCCATTTCGTCGTCGGTGATCAGGTCTGGGTATGTTGAGCGGGTGAATGATAGGAGGGAGATTTCGCGGAGGGAGGGCACGCGGGACGTCTTGTTTCTTGTTGTTTGGTGGTTGGTGGTGGGGGTTTGTTCAGTACTAGGGACTGGGATGCCTTCGGCGTTGTAGTATGTGATTGGGCCGGTGGCGACGTGGATAGGTGCCCATGCTTCCTCGGGTGGTGGGCCGTCGTAGGTGATTGATTTCAGTTGTTGGGGTTCGTGGGTGTCTGTCTCGGTCTCTGTGTCTTCGTCGGTGGGGACGTGCCATTTGGCGATGGGCTGGTCTTCGATTTGGAGGAGGGGGTTAGGACGGACGGTCAGGTGTTTGAGGTCGCCTTTGCGGATCAGGAAGAGGAGTTCCCAGGGGAGAGTGGGGAGACGGTTCACGGAGAGGTTGAGTTCCTGGAGGAGGGTGAGGCGGCGGATGGCCGCGGGGATGGAGGTGAGTTTGTTGTAGCGGAGACTGAGGACGCGGAGGGAGTCGAGGTCGAAGATTTGACCGGGGACTTGGGTGAGGGCGTTGCCGGCGAGGAAGAGGCGGAGGAAGGGCTGCAGGGAGGTGTAGACGTCTTCGCTGATGGGGGGCTCTTTTATGCTTGGGAGCTTAGTGAGGTGTTGGAGGGGGTGGAGGAGGTTAGGGGGGATGAGGCGGAGGGTGAGGCCACTATGGGTATAGGTTAGATGTTGGTTCTAGATGATAAGAGAGTGGACGTGTAGGGGAATTTACCTCAGGTCAACACTATCCTCCCCTCTCTCGAGACAATCGTTCACGATTCCCCGTGCAACTTGGTGCTCGCGCGGTTCTTCTTCGACTTTCCTGAATCCTTGTTGTTGAGGCTGATTCTGCGGCATCACTGTCTTTGTGCCTCCATTCGCATGCGAGTTCAACCAATCCTCTCCCAAATCCGCATCAGAAGGCAAGAACCCCGATCCCGGACCTGAATCGTAATCATCACTCCCCATCCATACACCACTATCCACCAACCGCTTCTCCTTGAAATCCGCCCGCTTGCGCTTCGCGTCCTTGTCCTTCACCATCTCTCCCCACCACGTGCCGCGGTACCGGCGCTTCCGACTAACAGGCGCATTATTGTAGTTCTCTAGACCCGAGGCGGGAATATCGTCGCTGGAGAAGAGTGCCGGGTCACTGGAGGGTTGACTGGAGCGGTCATCAATGAAGCGCGAGGGAAGACGGTGGTGGTGAGCATGGCGAGTCGCGTGACGGGTGTTATTGTTGTTGTTGTTGTTGTTATTACTATTGTTGTTGGAGGGGTCGCGATGGCGGATGCGCGGTGGTGGGGGGAGGGGGATTTCGTGGTCCATAGTTTATTATTTGCCACTGCTGTGCAATAATGTGATGTAGTGGTATGTAATTCTTGTTTGGAATATCTCGTGTGACGCGATGCGATGCGATGCGATGCAAAGGAAGTAAGGAGGGATATGAATGAATGAATGAATGGTATTGATGCGCTCAGTGGCTTTGGGCTGGATCACCTCACTCGGATCATGACGTCCGGTGGAATGTCGATCGATCGTCGGATGGGATGGATGGAAGAGTTCCGGAATGATGGGGAAACTCGAGGTCCAGAGGGAATGCTGGATTCTGATTGATGTTGGGTGCTGAGACTAAAGTTGTTTACAAGACGCGTCGCGGTGGAGCGGGGCGGTCGGTCTCCGCTTGATAATTTGACGGTGAACTGATTGATTGATTAATTGATTGATTGATATTGATTGATAGCTACCCGGGAGGCCCGGATCTGCTCGGTTTAATTCTTTGCTCTTCATGCAATCTCATTCAATTATTGTATGTAGATCCTTCTATCGTTAATTAATTTAGACCAATGTTGAGAAGTCTTGAATTGGGCTAGACTGGCTGCGGCTGCCTCTATCAGGGGCAAGCGCATCAAAAGTACCAGCCTTGAAAGCGAAAAAAAAAAAGGCACATTTACAGTACTCATCAGGTGTAAATATTATCGATTATCTACATACTACCAGCATAAGGCACATCGGTTCACGCAAGTGATTGGGTCGACCCTATACAAAACACTATGCACAGCTTCCATCACGGCCGAACCCCGAAGCGAAGTCAAAAAGTAAAAGAAATAATGGTAGAAATAAAGTCCATCCCAACTGCGGTATTCCACCAGCAGTCAAGCCATCAACTCGTGAAATCCGAAACATCATAAGGGGTATAATCAAGAAAGTATCCGTAGTAGATAGGCCCATTGTCCCGAGCACAGTCGATCACAATGTCCCGTGGAGAAATAATATAGGCGGTCGAAGCAGAGAATAATAAATCGAGTCATGGTCGAAACCATTCCTCTCAAGGTTCCAGCGCGTGAAGAGTATGCGACAAAGCCGGCAGCGCTGAATTGATTTAGAGCGCACCCAGGATCAGCGCCATAGATCCCGCAACCAGCACAGCAGGCATCTTGGCGACCATGCCGTCGGCTCCAGAAGTACCCACGGCAGGGGAAGTAGCAGCGGCAACCGAGGTGCCGGCGGGGATGCTCGAAGTCACGGTGACGGAGGCGAACGACGAGGAGGCAGGCGCAGAGGAGCTGGCGGCGGCAGAGCTGCTGGCGACCCGGCTGCTCGAGACCGCGTGGCTGCTCGGAGTGACGAACACCGAGGAAGTCGAAGGCGCCACGCTGCTAGGAGAGGTCACGGTGTCAACGTGGACCAGCGTCGCGGTGACATAGTTCGTCACCGTCGAGGTACTGGTGGTGTCGGTTTCCGCAGCGACAAGCTGGGAGGCCATCAGGCACAGGACAGAGGAGGCGAGAGTGCTGAACTTCATTGCGATGAGTTGCCGGTAATTTCGATTTCTTCAATTGAAAGATTTTCGGGCTGTGGATATGTACGTTGTCGCAAAAAGGCTCTGGCAGAGGCTGCGCGAGTAGATCAAACGAGTGACGAAGAAGACGCAAAAGAGTGAGCGTCGAGAAGAGCAAAAGCTAGCGAGGGTAAAGAACGTGGGGAGCGCTGCTCGAGTCAAAGGATTGTGAAACGATGCGATGTCTGAAGACGCGCCGAAGGGGGAAAAAGGAGGACGAGGGGGGGTGGACTAAATATGAGCCCCAGAGTGCCAGAGGGTCCGTTTGGACCCAACCAGTCAAACTCGAACCCTCACGAGCGCTGCCCCGGAAAAACTGCTTGACGAGTCGCAAGGGGCACGTCTCGCCTGCCTATTGGCCTGGGGCCCATTGAGAATGTGACGGGGGCATTGTTCACGTCGACACGCCGTCAGTCGGTAAACAAATCACCCGGCCACGTTACTCGCCAGCACATCCATTGTTGCGCTGGCGGCGCCTGGCTGAGGCCCAGTCGGTGTGTGCCTGACTCCTTTTCAGCGACGATCGCCAGTGTGCGGTGCTTGGCCGAGGATACGGTCTGCTCTAGTGAACTCACTAACCGCAGCGGCGTGAGGAGCAGCACACTGGATTGGCTTCGGTTCCTGGATTCTAGTGGTGGTCAGCTGGAGTCGCCTGAAGATTTCTTCCTCCACAAGTCCACAACCGTTCGGCTGTGGCTCTGGGAGCCGTGGTTGTCACCAGAGGATGCCATGCCTTTGTCTCTTTCATTTCACACACTCACCACGCTTCCGTTCCTCCTCACTGCCCCCTGGCTTGGAGATTCTAGTTTTGAGACCATCCGAAACTTGAGTGATTCGGAATTTAGCTGTCGATAGTCTGGGTTGGTATCCCGTAGCCAGTGCTGAAGCTGACGGTAAAAGACCCCTGATGGGAGGGATGGTAGCGGATTCGGAAAGGAGAGCCGGCAGAAAGAGAGACAAACTCCACTGGTTCGTTCCTGACTAGCGAACGCTGCATCCACTCACCATCCACTTGGTGGCCCCAGTGACTCTCGCATTTCCTCTCAACCGCTTCGCCAAACTCCGGCCTATCCCGCTAGTCCTCTCTAGTCCGGTGCAGGAACCAAGGGACCATTGTGCCCTTGCAGCCGCAATTAAACTCAATCGTTGCGCATTTTTGAGCTGCAACTTCGCGCCATACGTATATGAACACTCTGGCCCCGGCTTCGATTGCTTGCTTCGTTTAAATGTCCGCTTTTCCGGTAAGTTCTAGAGGAATCGGTGTGCGAGCTAATACTAGCATGTCCGTTTCGATGAGATACATATGCTCATATAGGGGTTGCCGCGTCACCCCTTCGACCGATATCATCAACAGCACTCCAAACAGGGCATTGCGATTAATGGAAAAGAAAGTTCTTTTCAGAATGAATTATTGGAGTACCTGCATGGAAATACCACCAAAACGAAAGACCAGTCCAGGCACCACTCGGGATAGCCCCTGATGCCGTACTGGTGAACAATACTAACACCGCCATCATTTGTCGCGCTAGCAACTGTGAAATGTCAGAGGCCCTCGAGCAGGAATACTCCTCGTGGGATAGCTGCTCGTATAAGGGATCAAGCTAGTCACCAAGGGCCTTTTTCCGGTCGGCTATCCTTGTGTCTGCTGATGCCAAGGTGGGGGCCAAGCAGTAACACTGTTTATGAAGCCGTCAGTGAAGATAACATCCGCCGTAGTGGTAGAGAACTATGACTTGTAGTGATGATTGTAGCATCATTTTCAATTCAAGGGTACCATCTGGCGGTGGCATCCGAGAATGTGCCGGAGGCGCAAATCCATTCCCAGACTCATCTGCAAGGAGAATGCCCAGCTGACCGTAAGGCTGAGCATTCGATCTGGCCCCATTTTATGTGCTTATTGAGAGCAGATACGATGTCGATCTGTTTCCGCCTTGCTGAGTGCCAACTGCTGGACCCTCGGTGTAGCCCTGCCTGTTGCTTCCCATTTTTTTCTGGAAAGCCATCAGTCATTGGCAGGGGCTGAGGAGCAATCACGATGCCCTGATATAAACAAATTTGCCTCGCTGTTATACAGGCTTCTTATAGGATAAGTGTTGAAAATGTGGGTAAGAAGATGCGCTATGGTGCGGTCATTGATTCAGATTCTGACTGTGGATAAAGCATTTCTCTATCAAATTGTCTTTATATATATGACTGTGGGGGTGACATATCCGTATCATCTGAATTCTCACAATCTCCGAGGCAAGAGTATCTGAAGGCGGCAAGTCACAGCATTCGGCACACTACTGCTTACAGACATGATCTATCAATCCAATGCTCGAGGCTCAGCCTTGTCAGAAGCACTCATGTGATTCCGACTACAAGGCCTACTCTTCACCATTCAGCTTATTTGGACTCCATTAACGAACAGGAAGCCAATATATTTCTATCAATCGCATCCTTGAGACCTCCTCTCCCTATCATGTCATAAACTCCGCCCACTTGGACTACTACTACCTCAACATCCGCATCTACATGCCTTGCATTGATCGGAAGGACTCTTACTGTCAGAGGCACAGAGTATATAGACTTCTGCTTTTCAACTTATGGGTGCTCCGAGATGACCATATCGAACAATACTTTGAGCGATTTTGCAGCAGATTCGCGGGTCAATTGCATGGAACAATGCATTGTGTATAATAATGAATTAGCGGGCTCGAAGTGTCAGGGTGTCACCTGGGATAGGGTTGCTCCGAATGGGGCGAAGCACACCTATCAATGCGCCATGAAGATTGAATGTAGTGGATATACGGAAGTTGACGCCGGTTGGGTGGACGACTATCCGTGTAGTTCGCAATGTGTGATGCAGGTAATTGGGCCACAGGCAAATATAATGACCATATGTTCATTTCTGTAAGTGAAGGATCTCTTATATCAATGCAGTCGAGCTCGTCTATTAATAAAATAAGTACTGCACAAAACAAATCAAAATTAACATCACAGGCAAAGAGGTAACCCCCCCCCCCCACCCCCCAATTTCAAACACAATATATACAAAGCCCCTTTTTATCAACCCAACTAAAACAGGACCTGCCTCACATCCTTATTATCCTTAATCTTAATGTTCTTCATCATCAACACCCACGCAATCGACAGCGCCATGACCGCCGTACCCGCAATCATCATGTTCCGCTGACTCCAAGCATAAGCGTTCTGAATCGCAATTCTCGTCTCCGACCCAACCGGATAACTCAATTGCACATCCAACGACTCATAAATTTCCTCCCACTGATCCTTGGTCTCAGCGGGCAACAGCTCCCTCAGCTTCTGAGGCAGGGTATTAGTCCAGATAGCACCAGAGACACTAGCACCGACAGCACCACCAAGGTTACCGAATGTGCTCAGCAAGGCCAGCATAGCAGCATAATCTTCATGTCTAGATGCCGCCAGGACAGCAACCTGCTCAATAAGAATCAAGGTACCACCACCAACAGCCAGGAAGATCTGGCACATGCACATGTATCCGATGTTGAAGCCGGGCTGGCGGAAGTAGATCATCAAGCCGCTGGCCAGGAGGTAGAGCGGGACAGCCCACATGAGCAGCCACTTGAAGCGGCCGGTGACGCGGATCAGGTATCCGCAGCCGATCAGCCAGATGGGGTCCATGAGGTCGAAGATGGCGGCGATGTATCCGGCTTGGGTGAGGCTGGTGTTGTAGACTACTTGCAGGAAGGAGGTGAAGTAGCTGGCCCAGCAGTAGTAGGAGACTTGGTAGGTTATGTCCAAGAGGCAGGCGCCGATGACGGTGCGGTTGGCAATGAGGTGGTAGGGGATGAAGGGCTTGGGGGCACCCCAGCGTTCGTAGGCGACGAAACCGACGAGGACGAAGAAGCCGACGACCATCATTGCGATGATCTTGGCAGATTTCCATTCGCCTTCGGTGTTGCCGGCGATGTTGAACGAGGTGAGGAAGAGGATGAGTCCGCCGATCATGAAGAAGATGCCGATGACTGGTTGGGACGAGCATGTTAGTGGGGGGTTTGAGGTAGTAGAGGAATTTCTGGGGCGAAGGCTTACTGTCAAACTCGATGATGTAGAACCAGGTGCTCTGCCACCAAGTGCGAGTGCTTCGCGGCTTGTATTCCAGGCGTCCCTCCTTGTCTGCCTTGCGCTTCGCCAGTTCCCAGGTTATGACTAGAGGCATTGCGACGATGGGGAGTATGATGCAGATGGTTCCATAGGCCCAGCGCCAGTTGGTCTCGTGGAATTGGTTGGAGAGGGGAGAACCGGCAAAGGCCGTAATAATGTAGGGAGAGGAGGTGAAGGCATAGGCGATACCTCGATTGCGGAGCGAGGATGTATCGGAGGTCATCACATCGACACAGAAGATGACACCGGTGAAACCGACAGTGTAGAATGCCTGGTAGTGTCGGGTGGTTAGTATTATTGGGCATACCCATTAAAAGAGCAATCTCGTGCACACAGAGGGTAGAACTTACCTGAGCAGCACAGTACGTGGCAATGTTGTTGCAGCCAGCCATCATAATCAAGCCCATGATAGCAATCAACACCATGATGCAGACACCCAGAGTACGATCCCACAAGTTCAGCACCTTGGCAATAGGCATGACACAAGCAGCACCCATGACACTGGTAATAACAGTGATGACAGTGAGCAACGAGTGCTCCGAAAAGTCACTGGTGATATACGCGGAAAGGTTCGCGGTCAAGCTGCTGTTCAATCCATTGACGAAGTACAGAAGCCACATACTATACACTGTTTAGCAGTCGCTCGGAAGGAACACACTTCAAGCCACTCACGAGGCATAAGTAATAATCAGAGATTTCTTCGACCAAGAAGCAGTAACTGCTTCAGCGACGCGAACACCATCCTGCTTATCCTGATCATCCTCGACAGGCTGCTGAGGAGTATCGGGATCCAAAGAGATCGGATCCTCACTGACCCCGGTAGTGGTGGGAGGCTTGTCAGTGGCCATTTTAGGAGGGAAAAGCACAGCGATATGCCCAAAGCGCCTATATCATCAGTGGTAGGAGAAAGGTTCAAGAACTGATCGGCATCGAGGGAAGGATATGCGCCATGTTATAAAGGCTTGACATGGGACGATGAATTCTTCGCCTCCCACGCACGTCCCACACCATCCCAAAGCTTTCCCAGACTCCAATTTCCTGAGCGACCAACGCGAAAAGGAATTTGCGCTGGCTGTGGGTGCTGGTTCAGTCTTACAGTGGTAGTGGAACTCTAGGCAGTCTTGTCCTCTTGGCAAGCTGGCGACACCCCGTTCCACTTCGGATCAGATAATTCTCGCAGCTTGTGTCAGTGTGGTTCCATCACGAGAATCTTCCCCAAAAGTTTGTCTGCAAAAACCGTTGGTTTTGCCACATTTACATACATCTAGATCATCGAATCGAGCTCACGATGATTTCATATAGTATGTTGTAGTAGTCTCCTAATGCTGGTGTAAGGGTCTGGTGTCCCTGCTCCACTTAGACACTCCTCCCCTAATTTGTTTCCTGGCTCCTCATTGCACCATGACGCCTTCTAGCCCCCACTGTTCCGCGACTGCTGGTGGTCTGCTGTTTTACCGCGGGGCCCGAAAGGACCCGATTTCCAGCGCAATGATCTTGTTATGGTTCCTAGTGACGGTGACAAGCGGGCCGTGATAACATCGAGACCCACGGACATGGCACTGATGATGGAAGATAAGATGGATAAGAATTCAAGCTGGATTCTGAGGGCAGAAAAGAAGAGACCAAGGAAGATAAGTAGGCCTTCAATTTCGGTAATGCATGTCATCCATGCAAGAAGATTGCAAAAATCCCATGAGAGGACATGATCATCATCACCACCACATAAGCTAGGGGTGAATATGGGCCAGCTCCTCCCCTCCCCTCTCCATCGGAAAAAACCCGGCCATTTTCCCGCAAGAGCAAGACCGCACCAGCCGCACCAAAAAAAAACCCAACCCTTCCAGCCTGTTTCTAACGAAGGGGGGGGGCCCGGTAAGGGAAAGGTTCCAAAACAAGCCTAGTCAAGCCCGAAATATACTTGGCGGGTGTCACTAAACCTTATTCGCCGTATCTTATCTGATTTCGTATCGCACAATACCAGATCAAAACACACACACTGCGTGAAATCCCCGGCACCAAATCCACCCAAAGGTTTCCCTCGAACCATGCCAAATTTGGATACCTTTAGGCCGGGGGCGCTAATAACCTCTTCTCCTACTCCAGAACATACCTCCTCCCCAGCGGAACTTACTAAATGGCTGCCTAAATCTCTGCCATGGGTTAATCCCCACATGAAAATATTCATGTTTTCTTCTCTCCTCCAGAGATTGATAACGCATGACTCACTCGTGACCTACAGCCAAGAAGTAAGCGAGGTGTGGATCATGTTGTGCGTAGGAATGCGCTCTTGGCATATCCTTGGCGGGTTGGAAGAGCTTTTCCGCCGTTAGCTGATGCTGGGCATCGACTGGTGGAATTGGGATTATGTGGAAGGCATACGTAAAAGTAGACGCTTCAACTAGTAGTCCAGAGAAGATCTTTTGTCTGGACATATACGAGCTGAGATGCTGAGATGGTACGTAACGGGTTGAGTCTTGGTCAGTGAAATGAGATCTGCGCTTCCAGAGATCGGACAAGCAGAAGCAGGAAGAGGGCAAGGCAAAATTTTCGAGAGGACTCTCTGTCAGTGGTCCTGAGAAAAATCTCCTGTATGCACGTGGCAAGCATTCTGGCATGCTATACTTCGCACTAACCTCAACAGAACTATACCGCTCAGACGGCCATGTCCGCCCAGATCGCAGATGCAGTCAGTCCACTGTTGGCACAGTGGAGTTACACGATCATTACCATGGCTCTTAGTTTCCATTGCCGCTGAACAATCTCCGAGTAGAAACCGTAAGGTGAATGTGGCCTACACGTAGAGAGGCCTTAATCTATTCGCAAATGTCATTAGTCCTCAACTCCTCGTCCAATCTCCAAGGTCAAGCCATTCAGCTTCAGGTGGCCAAAACAGACAATATCCCTGTAGGGTTGATACAGCTGATCAAAACTAGTAGAAATAAATGAATAGCTCTCAGCTGCTCAGACTATGGCCAGCCTAGCTTCTCAATATAGGCGCCAACCGCGCTATAAGGCGGTACTTGAAAGAAGGCGCCACACCATCAAAACCTGTTATGGTCCCCTAGGACCGGCAGAAGCCATATTACTGGCTATTATCCACGAAACTAGGGTCTCTGAAAACGACCTAGGGGCTTCAGCGAAAGGAATAGCTTAGGAGATCTCCGAACTCGATATAAACTTGTCATTGGCGCCGTTATCGGCCTTGGTTTATTCGCCTTTGTGGATTCTGGTTCATTGTATGAGAAAGGGCCAAGAATAAGAGACGTAATCCTCGCACTATAGTAGTGGCATTCTATCTAGTGTGGGAGGACAGTTGCTGCTTAGACTTGAGGTAACAAGTTAAGGGGTGGCACGTGTACTAAGACTCTCACATTGTTTGACATCATGAAAGCAGAGCCTGCATGATAGGAAATAGGGGGAAAGAATTGCTTCAAATTTTTTCAGTATTTTATTTTTAGATTGGTTGCATGATGCTGACTTGTGTTTGTTGGAATCAGGTCATTTCTGTTCCCTGGCTTATAATGCTGACTATACAACCCGACTCTTATTTCTTGAAAGTGGCGGTAAGTAGCCTCTCATGACCAAAAAATTCAACAACCTCATGGTACTCATTGGTCTTGAATGATGCTGAATTGTGTGGTAAAAAGCCTTGTCATAATCAGGTAGACCACCCTCCTCCTCAGCCTTCAACTTCATCTGCACAAACCCTTCCATCTCCGCCCTCTCATCAGGAGTCAAGAGCTCGAACCGATCGCTCAAGTCGCCATCACCAGAAAAACTCCGATCGATCTTCGCCCAGTGTATCATATCGAACGCCCAGCTCTTTCTCGCGGCGTAGTTCAGCCAGAAGTCACCGCTTTCCCAGCTTCTGAGCATATGTCCTGACAGTCTATCATTCTCATTTATGATTCCTCGGTCAATTGCTGCTTGCTCTTTGTCCTTCAACACTTTCAAAGACACCGGCAGCACCTTCTAATATCTTGCTGTCCAATCATCTAAACCCTGTTTCCTGAGTTCTGGAAGCTCGAGTAGTAACCAGGACGGCGGGCTGCGAGCAAACCCTGTGGGGCCTGCGTAGGTGAACTCCCATTCCACCACGCCGGTCACCCGATGCTGTGCATTTGATAGAACGTTGCCAGGTCTGGGGTCATCACAGAACAATTTAAATGGGCCAGCGTCGTCTTCGCAAAGCTGATATGCGCGAGTGATCTTGCGGAACAGACATCGTGCGATGTACTTGGTTCGACGGTCTTCCGCGGAATCATTTGCATCGTTTCGTTGGGAAGTCAAGTGGAGAATGCGCATCTCAGCTAGTGCTTGGTAGTACAATGAGGCTGTTTTGAACGTGCTTTGGGGAAGTAAGTCTGGTGACACCCCACCCAATTGAACGAGCTCGTTCATATTAAAGGTAAGCGGACGATGCTTGACTACCCACGTATCATCGAATTCATCATCATCGTTAGCTTTACCGATGCAGCCTATCTCGACAAAAGAATGCTTAGATAATTGCAGCATAATATATGCCATCTGACCATAAACCCTTTCAGTTCTCTCTTGCGATAAGTTTGGGTTTAGCATCGGTCTCTCGTCGCGTGATAGGCCCGGTAAATTTAGACATCATTGAAGTCGCCTTCGTCGTTAATATGCTCCATGATGATAAAGGGTCCCAAACCCTTTGGACTCTCCTCTGTCATTCCATGATGAAGGATATGAGGTATTGGTAGACTGGTAAAATACTCCAAGAACCGCATGGCTTTCACTTCGCGCTGAACCTTTCCCTCATGGGAACATGGAAGCACCCGGGCACGGGAAGCGAATGATGGCAGAGCCTCCATCTTTGGAAAAGCAATTGTAGCCAGGCATTGAAGGAGCCTATTTGGGGAGCAAAAAGCTCTTTGGGGACTCCTCTGTGCTTGTCAATAGAGCCGCATATTTCTCGGAGAACGTCTGTTTGAAATAGCTTGTGTCGCCAGGGCGCGAAAGTTCTATTGCATTCGTCACATAAGGTGTCGTCGTAGTCCATGCATTGGGCTTCGCGGATTGGAGGGGGCGGAGCTGGGGATTTTGGGTGTATGTGTGTTTGGTTGTTCATTGTTTCTGTGGTAGTGGGGATAGATTATAATTAATGAGTAAGGTGATAATGTTCCTATACAGGAGCCATTTTCCAGCTAAGCGCTGAGGAGTTTGTGCAACTCAGTGACTTATATCTGTCATCGGACCAATCACAATACGCGGTGTAGAGTGGTGATTGATCATGTCAGGCTATTGAAAGTCATTATGACATTCAGAAATTTGTTAGTACTCATCTACTATAGCCATTGATCTCTTATCTAGATAGCGCATCAATATGTCGCGCCTCATCATCACTTAAAGAAGCTCTCCTGTTGGTAGGTAATGGCGTTATGCGCTTTAGATAGCTATAGGACTAATGAAGTAATAGTACATTCCTTCGTACGAATACGTGATATAGGTATAGATTAAATGACAGGCACAGATTGCAAACGCGATAAACACAAGCATAGTGCCTCGCGATGATGACACTTGCAGATTGTTTGAGCCACGTGCTAGTCAGCAGGATGCTTCTCGCGTGTCAGATTGAAAGCTTAAGGGGCTCCGGGGATCCTTTAGCTGGCCTGGCCGTCTTAGGTAAACGTATTCTGTCGTTTTAACATAAAAGCTAGCTGTGGAACAAACAAGTTTTGACACATGTAAGATCGTATAGAGCACTTTAGATCAGCTATCTGGCTTATCAGGTGGGTTTCTGATAGAGTTGGAACTCCAGACAACCCATAACAAGTGGTATTTCATCTTTGAGTGTATGTAGCATCTAGACATTTCGTGTTGGATACGCGATAAGTAAGACGCTAGTCATCACCAAATCGCCGTCGGGCTACCATAGGCCTAGCCAGCCTAGGGCTTACGCACGCTCTTCCTGGCCCATGGCAATTTCGGTTAGACACTCTTGATAGGATTGGGTATTCTGCTGGTGACATCTGTCAACATTAGCGACGTTTCTTTATAAGTATGCGACGACAGCCTCGTTGGAATTCATCTTTCCTACACTTTATCGACTTGCCTCATCACGTTAGTGGCATCAAGCGCAATTAATGATACAAGATTCAATCCACCGGCGGATAATATGCAAAACCAAGATACCTTTGAGCTATACTCGTTCTGGTGTTCCTCATGCTGTCAGCGGATCATAATCGCAGCTCATCTCAAAGGCATCACGCTCAAATATAATTATGTCGATCTGAGCGCAAGAGGACATCATGACGCAAAATACAAAGATGAACTGAATCCAAGTGCTAGTGTGCCGACCTTGGTTGTGCATCACCCCGACGGCACCAAGACCATTATCAGACAATCCATGACAATCCTCGAGTACTTTGAGGAAAGATTCCCGAACCAAAGCCCTCTGCTGCCACCTGTCTCAGCTTGGCAGGATCGCATCAAGGTACGCGACCTAGTCAACATCATCGCGATCGATGTTCAGGCGCCTACCAATTCCCGGATTGCCAAGCGTGTCAGGTCCGTGCGGGATAACGTGGAGGATCAGGTCAGCTTCGTTAGGCAGGCATTCACAGACGGCTTCCAGGCGTACGAAGCCCTGATCTCCGCATCCAGCAAGTTTTCTTTCGGCGATGAAGTGTCACTGGCCGATGTTGTGTTGGTTCCCGCGGTCGATCAGGCATTGATGTACAAAATGGAATTGGACTTCGTGCCCAATCTCCTCAGAGTCTATCACTCACTAAAAGAGCTAGAGGCTTTCAAGGCTGGAGATGGAAAGAACCAGGGTGATACCCCGGAGCAGTTCCGGGCCGCTTCCCAGTAGCTCTGGCCACTAGGCGGAGAGTCCCATTCGGCGGGTCCTATATGCATCTGCCGGGACACGTTTGTATATACCATATCTGCCGCACGATAAGTTGATAGTTCTGTAACTAAATGGACAAGTTCCAATGGCGAATAGGTAAATTAATAGAGTTAACAAAAAGGAAGAGTTGTGGTGATTGGAGCGCTATTGGCGCGACGTAATGGATCTGACCTATCCAACTTGAAGACAAAACTAACAAACATTATGCATGATTGTTACTTCTTGGCGTGTGCAACTCGAACCGAGCGTTAAAGTGAACCAAACTGCAAGCCTAGCAAATTTCAGACTCAGCACGAAACGGTTGACAGTTGAATCTGAAGACTGGCCCCTGCTGCTTGGCGCGCTTGAGATAGGAGTTGTTATCATAGCAAGATGACACGGGTCTATGTGACTTCGCAGAAATCGTGTCGTAGGATTGTACAGCACATTGAATGCCATCGAAAAAGCAATAGCATATCAACCATCTTCCTATTATCTGTCGGCTTCAGGTATGCGGAACGTTGCTGCTGACCTCGGTCTAGTAGCACAGAATTCAGGCTAGAGGGCTTCTGCAGGTAGAAGCATGGCCCTGCTAGTGTTTTGTGTATTTTCTTCAAGCAAACGCCTGATGTCACCGCTTTCCAGAATTGGTAGCAAACGTAAGAAACCGATATCAGTGCAGTGGATCGTATGCTGTTAGTGCTTATTCTCATCCACCAATTCTCCCTCTGGCAGTCTATAATTGTGTAACCCGAGCTGCCATACGTAGATCAAGTCGTAATCAATGCATGCGCTTCCGAAGAGTGCTCAGACCACACGCAATGGCAGACACTCGAGTCATGAAAATTTGCGATGATCATGTTCGTGGCGCGGGGTAAGCAATGCTGGATATAGTATGCCAGAGAGCCTCGCGCCTCGGAACGCCCACGATTATTCCCCACCGACCTAGTATTCCGATCGCGAAAGTTTAAGGGGTCCGGTCGGTTATCTTGGCAAAATGGAAGATCATCTTCGGTAATGGTGTCATAACCCCCATATCTCATGTCTAAAAGTATGTGTGACGAGGCCGAAAGGAAGAGAAATGAGTGATGCGACCTGTAGAGTTTTCCAGAGTGGTGTGGAAGCAGATAGATCACTCACGACTAGTCGAGTCGTCCCAATATGCGGTTTCTTCTGACTCGTCTCCGGAAGTAATCAGGGTGGTGCAGGGAAGAAGCCATCATGGACACGTGGTGTGTGATGTTGTTGCCTGCCAGGATTGTTGTGAGTATTATTTTGTGGGGCAAATACTCTCCAAAGAATTCTTGCAAGAAGCGGACGCGGTTAAGGCTTCTGGTAGCTGGGAGGAGGAACGGTGGAGGTAAAGATTAGACTGATGTTGGTGACATGCTGTTGGAGATATTGCCGCACGAGTTACCTTAAGTCAGCTTTTGACTATCAGCAATGCCCTGGTTATGAGCATGATACAACTGGAGTCATTGCAAAGTTTTGCCCAAGATTATTGTGGTGTCGTCAAATTTCGAAGTGCGGCCCCTGAAAAGAATAACGGTTCACGGGAGAGACATCCGGGGACTCGTCTGGCTCCGACCCGGCCAGTTCACTGAAACTAGATGGGCAATACATCTTCAGCGATTGGCGGAGAAGACAGCCTGCAGGGTACTTGGAAAGCTTGCGCAGACCCCGGCACACCATCCGGTTGCATTGGGAAGTGGAAAAGCCAGGTCAGCATGAAGGACAGTGGGAGTGGGTGGGGTATGGTTGGCTGTTAGAGAGCGGGTAAGGCTGAAGCACATCCCACTCGCTTTGTGGTACCGGATCCACTGCACGCGCTATTCACCCCCTAGGGCCCTCAATTCTCTGTGCTGGTTTGTAGGAGAAATCGTGGCTCTTTAGTCACGCCCAAGAGGGGAGATGAGAAGATTTTCTGTCGCCTGATAAGAAAAATGATTCCTTCCCTTCTTACTCAAGCATCCCTCCACATCATTCCAATGTCCCTCGCTACGCCAACTCTCAGTCTCTGGTTTCTTTTGCCAGGATGCAGGGCCTAAAGCAGCATCTTTTTCTGTTTAGGAAGCTCACCCTAAAGCTCCTATGTGCTGCAATCTGCTTTGGCTTATCGGGCGCTGCCCGGGGTCCGTTGTTCCCCTCCCTTTTTGTGCATCCTGGCGAACTGACTCTTTATAGGTCTTGATTCTGGGCTTATCGCCAGCACTGTGGCGGAACAATCGTTCGTTGATCAGTTTCGCCTAGAGGCCGACTATCTCAGTGCATCCCAAAAAGCCAATCGCTTGTCGAACATCACCTCTATGGTCCACATAGGCAGCTTACCGGGGGCTATAGTCGCATTTCTGTGCAGCGAGCGCATCGGAATCCTTTGGACCTTCCGTCAATGTTGCTTGATGTGGATCATTGGTTCTGTGGTGTTTATCACGTCCCGTGACCTTGGGCAGGTATATGCCGGTCGATTCATAATGGGACTTGGTATTGGACAGTTTGGTGTAATGGCCCCGATCTACCTCGGGGAGGTGGCACCCAGAGAAATTCGCGGGATGCTTGTAGGCTTATACGGCATGTCAGAATATCTGGGAATTATGATTGGGGTGAGCATAACAATAATCTAAATAGAAAAGTACGTGACTCAGCTTACTTACTGACCTTGACAGTACTTTTCAATATGGGGGGCGTCCATTCACATCCCCGACTCGAGTGCGAAGCAGTGGGTTATCCCGCAAAGCGTTCAAATAATGTGGGCAGGCCTGCTACTGATCGCTTCTCTGCTCTGTGAGGAGAGTCCTCGTTTTTTGTGTCGAAAGGACCGTCCTCTAGCAGCACTCCAATCGCTTGCACGACTATGGAACGTGTCACCACTGGATCCGGGAATACATGTTGAAGTCTCAAATGTCAAGATTCAGCTCAAACTTGAGCGCGAGGTGGCATCACGATCAGGTCTTATTGGAGTGCTGAAAGAGCTTTTTGGGACAAAATCCCACTTGAAACGGATCGCCTTCGTGTTCATCCTGCAGTGCTTGGGCGAGTGGTCCGGCCCCAACTCGGTGACTAGTAAGTCTCAGCCCCGGAATCAGCAATACGCACGCTCGGGCTAATCTGGCATACACTAGCATATGCCCCCGAATTATTCGGACTCTTCGGTATCCAAGGCCAATCGCAAAAACTCTTCACGACGGCGGTCTTTGGCGCTGTCAAGTTCGTATTCGCGCTAATTTCGGCAATCTTCTTGATCGATTATCTGGGCAGGAGGAAGACATTATATATCGGCCTCGTGCTTCAGGTTATCGCACTGACCTATGATTCGATCTTTCTCACTATATTTAGCTCCCTATCTGGTCAGTCGCAAGATGACCCAGCAGTAAGGCATGCTGCCATCGGCGCAATTGTGATGATTTACTTCATTGGCATTGGATGGGCCCTGGGTTGGAATTCAATCCAGTATTTGATCACCGCCGAGTCCTTCCCACTGGGGGTTCGGATCGCAGGTGTGACTCTCGTTACACTGTGGCACTATGCCAACCGGATCGGCATTTCCAAGGTTGGTTCCATGTATATCCTTGGCGCAGATCGACTGTCGGGATGATATTGACGAGAGATTCCTTCCCTCCTAGGCAACCACGTTGATGCTGCTCGACCACGACTCCCTAACCCCCAAGGGTACTTTTTGGTTTTTCACAGGAATGTCCTTGCTGGGACTCCTATTCACATGGTGTTTCCTGCCCGAAACTGCTGGTAAGGCGCTGGAGGAGACCAATGAGCTGTATGCAAGGGATCGGGGTGGTACAACCCCGCACGACCAAAAGGATGCTAATTAGAGTCGGAAAATGAGCGGAATTTGCCCGCCTCTCTGTATCTACTCAAAAATGAGTTCTGAATCGTTGGGAACCAACTAAGGTTATATCCGTTGACAGCCAAGAGGCCGCATATTTCCGTTATTCCTCAAACTAAGGTTTGAGCTATCAAATTACCCCGCAAGCCAAATTGCTCGTAATTCTCCTCGCTGACAAAGTAACGATCCATCTACTCCTCCTCAATGGGTCGAGTTAATCAATATGCTCCGCCACAGTCGACTTCAAGTGGGGTAAGCTTTAGGATAGTGTGCAGATATCGGTCAACTGCGTGACTCAATTGGCGGAGGAGGTTTCAAGCTAGATGGTAGGTGCTGTTAGAGCGGAATACCATTTCAGAATGGCGCTTGTTCTTGCAGCTGTAATGTCAGGTTTTGCAAAGTATGGCCGCGGAATGAGTTCCTGCTACCGGCCATAGTACCAGTATAAATCCGAACGTGTCCGCATGGCTCTTTCTGCACTACTGAGGAGCTTTCTCACAGTTTGCCTACCGTTATTCAAGCCACCTGTTGGCTGATCGACTGTGGTGCGCAACATGGAGAATTCTTTTGACTACATTATCTGCGGGTTAGTTTCACTTAGTATAGAGTGCGCTTTTTGTCTGATCTTTGTCTTCACTATGACTAACTGCTCACTTCTACACTCAGGGGTGGCACCTCAGGATGCGTAGTTGCCGGTCGCCTGGCTGAGAATCCGCACATAACAATTCTTCTTATCGAAGCTGGACAGCATAATAAAGATCTCGAGAATGTCCATATGGTTGGCGGGTTCGTACGCGCATTACACTCCTAGGAAGCGGTCCAACTTTCTTACTTGACTAGCTGGAGTAATCTGCTCGACTCTACGACAGACTGGAACATTGTCACTCCGCCCATGCCCAACGTCAATAATCGGCAAGTCAAGCTCAGCAGGGGCAAATTCCTAGGAGGTTGCAGTGGCTGCAATGGGACAGTTTGCATACGCGGCAGTAAGCAAGATTACGATGACTGGGGTCTGGATGGGTGGAGTGGCAAGGAATTCTTCAAGTACATGCAGAAGGTAACTACTGTCATGCCCATTAACGATAAGCCAGGGGGGCGGGGGTGCTTTGAGACTAGAAAACTAACATCTTTCTTCCAGGCCGAGACGTTTCATACTAAACCCTGGTTTAAGGCATCCGATCAGCATCATGGAAACTCGGGTCCGCTCCACGTCGAACCACATGATCTCGCGCCCATTTCAGAACGCGTCATGGACTCTTTCGTTTCGCAGGGCCTTCCATTGGATCCTGACATGTTCACGACTGGGGACACACCTCATGGGTGTGGCCATGTACCACGGTCAGTGTACAATGGCATCCGCACTACTAGCGGAGACTTTGTCACGAATGGGTACCATCGCAACAATGTTACGATCATGACAAACACCACTGTGGACAAGATACTCTTCAAGAAGACCCCAAGTGGGCCCAAAGCGGGCGGTGTCTCGGTGGTAACAGCAAATGGGCCACGGGCACTACATGCCAAGAGGGAGATAATCATCAGCAGTGGATCTTATTGCAGCCCTACAATTCTGATGAGGTCTGGGCTAGGTCCGAAGGAAGAATTGCAGAAACACAACATTGAATGTTTGGTCAACCTCCCGGGCGTCGGGAAAAACCTCATGGATCATTTGGTAGGTGCTATATGGCAGTTTCATCTATGAAGTTAGCATCTAATCAGAACTGTCCAGATCGTTTTCATGTTCTACGAGACAGAAAAGCCTGGTCTGACGACCGACCACCACGTCTACCACGGCGATAGTTTTGACAAAACCTACGCGCTTTGGAAGGAGAAAAAGGAGGGGTTCTTGTCAACCTTCCCTTTTGGCTCCTTTGCTTTTGCGCGTCTTGATGAACGTCTTAAGAATGAGCCACTGTGGAAAAATGCGCCACGACAGCCAGGCCGTGATCCCATGGGTCTGACACCCAATCAGCCGAACGTTGAGCTCTTTACTACGGAATGTTACGGCGGTCCTAAACAGTACGATCAATTTCCTATTGATCACAAGTACGCATTCTCAATCATCGCCGAATTGTTCTCGCCTAGGTCTCGCGGTAGTGTGACCTTGAAATCTAAGGACCCCTTGGAGAAACCTGTAGTGGACTGCAACTACCTCGCAGACCCGCTCGATCTACTTGTGTTAACTGAAGCCTGTAGATTCGCAAATGAGATCATTACCAAGGGCGCTGGGACGAAGGACATCGTGAAAGGCTCTTGGCCTCCTAATCTGACCCACCACACTTACACGAAGAGAGAAGAGTGGATACCTTATGTGAAAGAACATGCGACAACTTGTATGCTTCTTCCTTCTGTCTGTTGGCATCACTCATACTGATTGACTTATACTAGGCTATCACGCTGGAGGTACCTGCGCAATGGGCCCAGATGGCGACACCAACGCTGTTCTCGATAACAAGTTACGTGTTCGTGGCGTGGCCGGACTCCGTGTGGCAGATTGTAGTGTCATGCCAACTCTGAACGGAGGACATACTCAGATGCCTGCTTATGGAATTGGCGAGAAATGTGCGGACCTCATCAAAGAGACGTGGGCATCCCAGGCCCTCAATGTAGCGAAGCTCTGAGGTTTCTTACCGTGTTGGTGCCAACAGTGCGGCTTTGAGGATCGGCAGCCGTCTGGTTCTGGTAAAGCTGCCGTATATTTGCTTGGATATTTACGTTATATATATGTCATGAGCTACGACGCCTTCTTCTGATTAAGACTTCAATTACACTTGGTTCCATGGTTTCGTTCACACGATGATTGTCATGAGATAGATCAGACGATAAGCAAGTGAAGGTTGGAGCACCGATATGTCTATAATCTCACCATCAAGCCGGGCACCTCGCAACAGGTGTATGCGCTGATAACCTTGATGCCTTCAGAGTCGAAGAGGAGGCACTAGATATGGGTTTATTTATTTACGCGCTCTATAAGGTCAACTTATTATATCCTTTCAACAAACAGGTTGTGTAGTGTAATGGTTATCACTCTGGATTCTGATTCCAGCAATCCCGGTTCGATCCCGGGCACGACCTTTTTGTATCCTTGGCATCATGGTCCGAGCCATGTTTTTTTGTTTCGCCCACCAAGCGTTTCTATTATCCTTACCAAATGAAACCTTGTCATTTTTTCCTCTTCTTGCTCCAACTCCCTCCCACCTCGGCCTCAGCTACCCGATTAACCATGATATCACCCACCCGACAACCCCCTAAACACCCAATAACAACCACTGCCGTCAGCCTTGTGGGCCCAACCGCCAATTCAACCTCAACGCTACCCACTCCTTACGATGCCGATAACCCGTCCTACCAGCCAACCCACTCCAATGCGCCATTGCCATTTGTCCATCCTCCCTTAGGGCTGTCGCAGTAAGGCTGATAGTGTGCTAGCGTGCTTGCGTGCTCGCAGCAGAAAATGGCGCGTGAAGAACGAAAAAGAAAAACGCTGCGTTGTACAGGATATCCAGCCAGATACGTATGTTCCCAAGTTTCTTTTTCTCAATCCCGCTCGGAGATTTTCGTAGTAAGGGGCTGCTGCTCTGGTTTGCCTTCTTTCGTTTGTAGTTAAGTTTCCTACCTATTTATGGAGATATTCTCCCCCCTCCTCTTAGGGTTTAGGGTGTTGAAGAGGGGGGTGGCTAGACTCTTCCAATCTTTCTATCTGTGATGGCGTTTCGTAACTTTGTCTTTTAATCTATCTTTTCTGCATGTCTTAATCCGATATAGTCGGTGGTGTTATCATTGCTTGCTTGCCGCATGCATATATCATCTTAACTTTATCCTTGTACATATCTCATCGCCTTATTACTTACTATACTGTACTACTGCTCAGGAATGTCAGAGCCCTTCCACCCCGCGAAATCACCGGCTCTCCCGGTCGTGGAATCCTCCACAAACCCCAAGTCCCCTCAATCCCAGCAGACGAAAGTGCGCCGATTAAGAGAGACTGTCGATAGCAACTATGCCGACATCATCTGTATCATTCTGTGCTTCGTCACGGGGCTTTGCGACAGCTCCGCATTCAATGCGTGGTCATGCTTCTTAGCTATGCAAACCGGTTGGACATCTCCCCTTCCCCTTTATCCCACCACTGGCACCACTTCCCTCTCATTACTGACAAAATTCCTTTAATAAAAAGGAAACACCGTCGTCCTCGGCCTCGGCGCCGCCTCCCTCCCCAAGGATGACAGCGACAGCTGGCTAAAATCCATCGTGTCAATCGCCAGCTTCGTGACCGGCTCATTCATATTCAGCTTCGTCGGACGACACCTCGGTCCCGCCCGTCGCGGCACGCTCTTCGCCTCCTTCATGGTGCAAGTGATTCTCATCGTGATTGCCGTCTCCCTGATCCAGTCTGGAATTGTCGCGGAATCCGAAGCCGATGTCATCTCTGGCCACCACCATGGCGGCAAGCTCCTTGAGCTGATTCCTATTGGCTTGCTGGCGTTCCAGTCCTCCGGGTCTATTAATAGTACGCGCTCGTTGGGATTTAATGAGATCCCGAGTGTGGTTATCACGAGCGTGTATTTTGATATTGCGTCGGATAAGAATATCCTGGCTGTGCAGAATGTTAAGCGGAATAGGAGAATTGCGGGCGTGGTGGCTCTGTTGATTGGAGCTATTGTGGGCGGTTGGTTGAATAGGAGTGCTGGCGGGATGGCGTCGACCTTTTGGTTGGCGGCTGGGATTAAGTTCCTTATTGGGTTGGGGTGGTTGGTTTGGATGCCTGTTAGGAACTAGTAGGTTGTTGGACGGGGTGGGTTGGGGGAGTGGTGCGATCACTTGGGATATGGTGGTTAGTGAGGTATGTGGTGTGTGTATGTAGGGAGGGAGTGCGATTGTATAGTATTTTGTTTAGGGGGCGTTGTTGTATAGATGGATGGGTAGACTTGGGTTCGCGAAAAATAGAAGGTATAGATTTCTTTTTCATGCTTATTTGCTGAGTAGGGTGGGTGCGAATGTAATTGTTAGTAGCATCGTACTTCACAGAGGGAAACAGCAAAGTTCAGTTGATGATCAATATAGTGAGGAATAACACCAGCACATGCTATGTATGCATCATTCATGACTTCCATTATGATTAACACAACCGGTCCGGGACGCTTAATACATTGCAAAGCATCAGGTGACTAGCGGACAGGGCTGAGTTGCCCTTCGATATGTACATGATACTGCCACTGCTGCTCTGCTCTGTCTTGCGTCTCGTCGATTAACATGTCATTCCTTGTTCCATGTTTCAGGATACGCTATCGTACAGTCTTCCTCCACCTCACAAAGCCCACATCCCTCAATTGGTATAATTCCATCTTCTCATCAAGTATTTAGTCGCGCATAGGGCGCAGAGGGCTCTGACGGGGGAGCATCATCGGGGGACCACGAGCGCGGAGCCAGGCGTCGTTGTGAGGGCCTTCAGTACGGATAACGCTGCCAATGGACATGAAGAGACTATCAAGAGAGTATGGTTAGTATCGAGCAGTCGAACATACAGAAGCGATGAATAGACGTAGAATCGCAAGGAATAGCGCAGAACATACCCAAAAGTAGCACCAGAACCAAGCATGTATTTACCCAGGGTACGCATAACACCGTTAGGTCCAGCTCCGTACTGGAAGATGGTGACAGTTCCTGCTTCAGATTAGTCGGGTTCAAAGGAGGGGTTGCGTTTGCATAGACGGACCGATGATGAAACCCATGATACCTCCAACAGCTGTTGGAAAAAGGATTAGTACCTTAATAACTAGCATGCGAACTTGTTCAACCTACTGGATCCCATCATGGCACCCATCTTCACTGTAAATAAAGTCAGTAAATCAGTACGGTAGATTGAGTGAAACTCATCCAGCTGGTGAATGGCATGGGGTCCGGTTAACTAACTCTTCTCAAAGGTAGAGGGACCATGCCCTTGAGGGGGACCAGCAACGACGGGCATGTTGAATGATAGTTAATAAATATACAGCGAGCGCAAAGAATTTGACAGCACAAGACCAGTTTCCCTCAGACGGTCGATTCCTCCGGCTTCAGTCTTCTAGAGTCGGCAGCAAAGCTCCAACGGTGGGCGCATCGAAACCCGAGGCCCAGAAGCACGTGACACCGCCTGCCGTATCGAGAACCAAAGGTCCGTGCGGTATTACCTAAGCACACGTGTGTTCACACGTGATTTTTGGCCTCAGGCGTAGGGAGACGAAGGAAGCCGTGAGCTGATCGGCTCTTCTCTCCCGCCGCAAGTTGGTGGCTCTCCCCATGAAGTCTGCTCCTGAATCGTCTGATCCAGTGCCTCGACTTACTATTTCGGCGGCTTAGGAGCCTGTGCAAGGCGGTAGTTCCGTCTCGTGCCTCCGTCTTCGTCGCTGCCCGGTCGCTTGGTCCGTTCACTCCTCGGTTCGGGCCAAGACCTCCACGCCTCCTTGGTCAGGACTGAAGCGCCTTCTTGCCTCACCATCAGATCCCTTTTTAGACTCAACTGTTCATACTCATCCTGCCGTGGTAAGTTTGACTTGCTAGCTGTTGGGTCTCGCATGGCACTTGACGATGGCAGGCGCTGTTGTGTCGATACGGAAACGGACTCGATGTTTATATGAGGGTCGTCCGGACAATTGCTAACGTGACCTCTCACCAGCCGAACGGACTGTATTCACGATATTTCCGCGCGCCTACCGTCGCTACAAACATTTGTGCCTTCGAGGTCCGTCGCGACGGGCACTCACGGGCGGTTAGCATCCGAACGCTTCTCCTTGCATACGTTGACGATCCTCTTTTTCCGTTGAGCGGACGAGCGCCTATGAGATAGAGCTCCTTTCCATCACACTCACCATACGCTATCCTTCTCCATGACTGCTGTGGCATCACCACCTAGTGTGCAATCAGGCCCTCACTTGGGATGGTTCGACTCTGGTAACGGAGGACAAGGTGCTCTGTCTTCAATGGACGCGGATGAAGTCTCACGAACATTTTTGCCGCGAAGGACTGTTCAGAGATCGAATTCCTCCTCTTCCCTAGCATCTACATCATCAACCTCAACCGCTATAGTCACGCCGCAACCCTCTAATGCGGGACACGTGAACAACGTCGAACACGCTACATGGTCAGCAAAGAAGAAATCCTCAAGAAATAATTGGACAACTTCTAAGTCAGAGCCGGTGGCTGGGCTGAGCAGCGCCCGCTCCCAGGCTATGCCGGCCTTTTCTTCGGGCCCAGGAGCCTCTTCTACTATGACCGCGATTCACCAGCCGTCTTCCATTGTTCCATCTCAACACATGCTTCAAGCATCACAACAAAATGGCGTACGCGCCGCGAGCGCACCAGCAGGCGATCCTCCCGCCATTCTCACACTCTTACCCATCAACGGTACCTTCGACAAGAAGCAGATCAACGTACCGTTCTATCCGGACCTACTACGCATAGGCCGTCAGACAAACGCCAAGACTGTGCCAACCCCGGTGAACGGTTACTTCGATTCCAAGGTGCTGTCTCGACAGCACGCCGAGATCTGGGCAGACAAGAGCGGAAAGATTTGGATCAGGGATGTCAAGTCGTCAAACGGTACATTCGTCAATGGGCAGCGGTTGTCTCCGGAGAACCGCGAATCAGAACCCCATGAGCTTCGCGAGAACGATACCTTGGAACTCGGAATTGATATCGTCAGCGAGGATCAGAAAACGGTTGTTCATCATAAGGTTTCCGCCAAGGTTGAACATGCCGGTGTATACAGCAGCATTCCGAATATCTTGGACCTCACACTAGGCGACTTGGATCCTGCTTCTGGAAATGGACTGCTCCCGTCTCCCCTTAGTCAACCGATGTCACATCTCAGAGGACGATCGGGAAGCACCATGAGCAACCGCAGTGCCCAGAGTGCAGCCAGCAGTCAATTCAACGCAATACAACAACAACGTCAGATGAACTATTGGAATTCCCCTATATCTATAGAACAAGTTGTTAAGCGACTTACGGTATGTCATCAAGGTCACATTCGCAGCGAGCTTGCTCTAACACGATTTCAGAGTGAAATGAAACAGGCTAAACAACAGTCACAAGAGCTCCGGCAAACGGACGAGTTCTTGACTACTATAATGAAACCCGGATATGCGGAGAAGGAGAAACCGAAGCCTTCACCAGCGGATAACAATGCACCCCGTCCAGTTAATGGGCGGCCAAAGATGCCTCGCGTAGATTCCTTCTCTCGCTTTTCGGACCCTCCAGCTCCTCCACCGCAGCAACCCTTGCCCGAAAAGCCCGATGCTTTGCCGCGGAATGGCACAGACGCCCTATCGCCGTTGAAGCGATCCGAGACAGAAAAGTCTAAGCTTGGCCCGAACTCCCCCGTTACACGTGAAAATAGCCAGATCTTGTCTCTCATTGAGGCTCTGTCCTCCGCTAAAAGGGAGCTCGATAGTCAGGGTGCTCGTGTCAAGGAGCTAGAAGCGATGCTGATTCAGGAACGAAATGCTCGTGAATCTGCCGAGGAGAAGGCCCGGAGCTTGGAGATGAAATCCATTCAGCCTGCTCCAAGCCTCACCACAGATGCTGAAGCCGAAGACAGCACTAAGAACTTGACTGAATTGGAAGAGCCAAAGACTACGCTGCCGGATGCCGAAGCTTCGATCGATTCTGATGCACCCGCTTCTGAAAAGGAGCCCTTGGCAGAAAGTCAAACAGATGTTTTACAACGTCGTCTCGAGTCAATGATACTGGAGATGGAGGAGATGAAGAAGCAAGTCACAATGTTCAAAGACCGGGCAGAAGTCGCGGAGAATGAGACTGTTGAGGCGCGGAAGTCGCTGGCGGAGATGATTGAAACTCTGCGGCAAGAGCGCGCAGAGCGTGCTCAGGGCAAAGTAGTGTCTGGTGCGCAGACAGATGCTCCTGCTCCTGCTGGTTCTCCATCTGAGCCACAAGAGCCCGCCGAAGAGAAGGGCAGCGTGTGTGCTGAGCAATCACAGCTTACTGCGACGCTGTCAGCTACAAAAGCGGTGGACAACGCAAACACGACGTTTGCGACACAAGCACACCGCCACGACGTCTTAGAGCAATCCAGTCCTTTTGCTTCTATGCTTGGAGTGGTGCTCCTCGGCGTTGGGCTGATGGCTTACCTGAACAGCTGGCAGAAGATGGACAAATGATCATTTGGGCTAGCACATCATGCCTTCTGCTGGCGCATGACATAAATTGTGCATTCGATAACACCTTGAAAAGCTCGTCTTGTTCTTCAAGTTACTAACATTCGATCCTTCCTTCATACCTTTTCTTTCTGATTCTCCGCTGGTTCTATTTCATAGTTTGTCTCATCTTGTATTCTGCTCCGATGCTCAGCAGGGATTGTGCGCTGGGTTTATGGGTCGATTTTTCTTCTTTACCCGTTATTTCCGTTTATTCCCTCTTCTTGCCCCCCTCTTATGTGCAGTTATCCTTTTTGCATAACTTGCATGACCCTCCCTCACTTTTCTTGTTTGTTCCTAGATATCACTCCTCGTGGGCACCCTGTTGTTCCAGTAACGAATTCCTGGCAGCAGTGGGATTTCTTTCTATGTCGATGTCTCTTTCTCACGGGCAGAAGCAGGTCGTGTAAAAGGCTCACCCGCCTTTGTGTATTAGTCTATCATAGCATACTCCTTTTTTCCAGCCGAGCGATGAATGACCATCTCATGCTTTTCTTGTTTTCTTTGACGACCTATACCCGGACGATTCTCCTTAAATAAATGCGTATGCTTTTTATATAGTTTCATAGTTGGATTGTTTGAACCTCGTAGTAGTATCTTCGCGATGGCTACCTCACGTGATGCGCCCCATACATTGATCGCCGCTGCCATCCGACGGGGTTCCTTGTAGCTACAATCAAGTACAGCTTGCTGTTGTTCCCGTTTAAGCATGCAGTCAAGACCGTCTAGTATAGCGAAACCTCGGCCCAAGCGTCGGCAGCGAATTTGTCGCGCTTGTGATGCCTGCTACAAGAGGAAGGTACAGATTACTACCTATTCACAATGCCTTACGTTGTTTGTCCACCCCGATACTAACCCAATCTAGATCCAGTGTGATGCAGCAACGCCACGCTGCAATTGGTGCCATCACCATGATCTTCCTTGTACTTTCAAACGCAACCAGGAACGTATCCAGGAACGCTCTGTATTCCATGACTCTTCAAGGTACTGTTTCTAAATGTAGTTCTATTTATATACTGACTCGTCTAAGCTCCCAACGGATTAGTTCCACAGAAATACCGCTTGCTTCTCAAGGTAAACATTTTATGCCCTTTCAACCATCATATTAGTTTGTTTGAGACTTTGCGTTTGTTTTCGAGGGAGACACTGATCATTCTGCGGATAGGTGTAGATCGGAATCACCAATTGGGCCCGTCATTAGGACAAAGTGGACCGGACTTGACCTTTACTCTTACTGTCGGGCCCCAGCACAATCTCCATGTCGGAGGACATGCTCTCGGGAATTTATGCACTTTCAATGGCCTGCCCTTCTTCTCCGCTACTGGCCGTCAGTGGATAAAAGAACGCACCGGCGAAGATGTGAAGCTCGAATATACATCACCAAGGCCATCTATACTCGACCCGTCAACGCCCAATGGGGTCGCGCATGCAGTACCGCTTCCAGACAAGGGGATTCTGTGTCAGCTGCATGACGAGTGGGAGAATTCAATTCTTTCCAGAATGTTTCCGTTTGTAGACCGAGTGCTCCTTGAATCAACTGTCGCTGCCGCCTACCATAACGAAACGAGTGTCTCATCGCCTGGTGCTGACAGCGCTAGGGCCTGCATTCATGCGTTTACGGCAATCTGCGTACATTCCGCAGACCAGCAACATGGGCATAGAGTAGTGCATACAGAGGACCATCTTCAGACCGCCCACGACTTGGTCCCTCGGATGCTGCACGAGTCTGTTACCATAGATGGCCTGCAGGCCGTTCTGATGATAGTAAGTTTGACAACCTCGCACTGTTTTACGGAAGATGAAAGGGAACGTTAGGGTGAGAAGAGAGCAAGGCAGGCAGGTGCTAAAAATGATGCAAAATCAGAGTCTTTGCTCCTTGGTAGTCACAGGGAATATTCTGATACTTGAGATGTTACTCACATCTGCGATACGCTTCGTCTTCCATCTAGATGGTCACCTTGCCCCAGTCTACATCGACGACGACCAGTTCAGAAGGAGCCTGCATGTCCGAAAATTATTTTGGATATGTTACATCATGGATAAGGAGTTTAGTCTACGCGCGGGTCATCCTCCGTGTCTGGATGAGAGTCAGTGCGACCTCACACTCCCTGATATCCACCACACTGCGCCAGAATTTCTCGCAGGCATACGTCTTGCCATGCTTCAATCTGAGGTGTATCATCGATTATACTCCTTGAAAGCTTTGCGCCAGACAGATGCCCAGTTATTGGGCGCTATTCGCGATCTCGACAGCGCCTTGGAAGTTTGGAGAATGTCTATTCCCACCAACTTTCGGCCACGCCTCATTGATCGGGAAACAAACGCCATGGACACTCCAAATACAATCTATCAATTACACTACCTGTACTGCATGAGTATGATACATCAAGCAAGTGGAAGATGCTCTGCCTGGGTCCAGAATCACGATACATCTGAAGCGGGATCGAGTCTCGCTATCAGCGTTGAAGCCAGTCGATCGATGCTGCAGAAGTTCCTAGACGACCGTCTTGATTTCAATAAGACCAACTTGAGGTAAGCATCGGCTGTGGAAAGTTCATTGTCTTTATCATTAACATGTTATACAGGTTTACTCTTCCCTATTTCCTGACAGCTATCTGTCATCTTTTTTCTAACATTCTTTTTAATCCAACGCACGGTGGCATCGATGACGACTTGGAACTGTTCATGTCAGTGCCAACCCATATCAGATCACGCGTACCGCCAGAAATTCCGAGACTATCGGCTTATCACATCAAGCTCTTCGAAAACTTCGTGATGGAATTAGGACGCCTTGCTAGTAGTGCTATTAACAAGGCGCGAGCAGGATCTCAACATATGAACTAAGGGTTACTTCAGATGTGAACAGCAATTTTATTTTCAGTAACACTAGATCGCTAGAGGGGTTGCCGTGCCGTTGTACGTGAAGAATACCCATACTTCGATGAGATCAATGGCCGATCATGCTTGTGTGTTGCTGCTGAGCGCCCGCTGCATGTGGATGCTGGGTAGACGCTGCGTGACCGGGAGAGTCTTCCAAGGCAGCCGGCCTGCCGTCGTCGTGACACCGGGAAAGCGCACAATCGGCACAAGGTCTAGATCCATTGCGGCTGTTCGAGGGGCCTGAAAGCGACTGAAGCCGGACCCGGCTTGCCGGTTGAGTTGCATCAGCATCTGCATGAATGCTTGGCCACGGCGCCCGCAAGAGGAGGGATTTATCCGCCTGGCTGGTATATTCAGTAGCGTGCCGCCTGGATTCGTATCGTCCATTTCATTTCCTTTCCATACCATCTCACGGAAACCTCACTTCAACGAAACCGCCACCTCCACCATATTCACCCACCTCGTCCTAGTCTCGGGCAGCTCTTCCTCGCCCTCCAACCGCGCAACGGCTCTCTTTCTCTTTCGAATTGCCGACTTGGATAAATCACCATTCCCATCCTTCAGCTTCGCTTCTTCAACCTCCTTTTTCAACCTCTCACTCTCCTCTAGCGCCTTCTTCCTCTCTTCTTCATCCTCCACCACATCGTCGACCACAAGAACACTCCCCGTCTTCACGCTCACAGTATACTCCTCCCCCCTCGCCTCAAACCACTTTCCCACCTTCAAGGCCCTCTCCATTGCCCGTCCCGTAGCCTTCACAAACACCTCCTCTTTCTTCAGCGCTTCGTTACTCTGCGCCAATTGTGCGATTTGATTCCTTCGGTCGCCCTTCTTTCCTTTGTTGTTTCCGCTGAGCAACTTTGCCGTGGCGCGGTTCTCCGCCGCCCGCAGGTACTTCTGGACGCGCTTGACGACGCCCATTGTGGGGGAGCTGGATGAAACGTAGATGGTTTTGGGAGATGAGGAGCCCGAATACGGGGAGGGAGTGGAGGGATGTGGGATGGGGCGCTTTTGGACTTTCACATCTGCATTGCGTAGCAGGTTAGTGGGATTGTCGCAAGAAAGAGGCGGAGGAAGGAAGCTTACGTTTGGGGAGTTTTGGCATCTTCTGGTTCTTTTTCTCGAATTCGAGGGTTTTGGTTAGTGGAGCAGGCGTCATCTTGGCGGTAGGAGAAGGTGTATTCGAGATCGCTGGTAACAAGACACGTGTGGGTTGTTGTATACAGAGATGAGGGACCGAAGAGGAGCGAAGCAGCGATAAAGTAAAGTGATGGAATTGGGAAAATGAGGTGCCATTCCGAATGAGGCTAGTGCGGTCAAGTCGTGGTTCTTATCGGGCTTATCGCTGACATTCCCTCTTTTGGAAATTCCCATTGTATTCCAATCATCATCATCATCATCATCATCATCATCATCATCATTTATTCTCGTATGTCACATTAAGAGAGTATCATCATTGACAACATTCTACTAAACCAAATCCCAAACGCCATAGCTTTTGTACAGTCTTACCATATCCCCCTACTCCACCCCAACTACCAATTAGTATGCAGTCTGCAACTCAGCTTTCGGCTCCTCAGCAGAGGAAAACAGCGCCCGCATCTTCTTCTTACGGCTCTTCTTCCCCAGCTTCTTCCCATTAACATTGACATTCTCAGCCGGAGGAACATTCTCAGTCGCAGCAGTCTCCTCTGTCACAGACCGCTGCATCTCAGGGTACTCCGGGACAGGATCTTCGATCGGCGGCGGCTGCTGCTGCTGCTGCTCAGGAACAGCAGTAGGCTTCTCCGGCGTCGCTCCATCATGCATGTCGTTCCTGTACCAGTCCCTATCCTTGTTCGCCCAGTTGCGCCATGCACCCCACCGCTCAGTGACCATGTCTTTCTCTAGCGCGTGCGACTTCGTCTCAGGCTCGGGGCTGGGCTCCTCGACGATCGTCTCTTCAGTCGGGGCGTAACGCTCCTCCTGTTGTTGTGCTTCGGGGACGTATACGTCATCTGTTAGCTCGGGGAAAGCCTCCATGTGTTCTCTTGTGGTGGTGAGGGGGTGCTCGTCTTGGATTGAGTCCGGGTACCCTGCATCCGAGGGGGCGCCGCCCTCTGACGGTTGTCTGTCTGACATGGTTTCCTCGATGAAGATCACCGCTTTGTTGTAGTTTCGTCCGGGGCTGGTGGGTATGGGTTCCATGTATCCACCATTACTGATTTCATGATCTTGCTGTTCCCTGTGATTCTCGTCCTGGTCATCATGATGATGGTACCCATTTATCCTAGGATACTGCTTCAGCTCCGACAACTTCGCCTCGTAAATAGCTACCATGGCCTGCACCAAGCACGTCACGAACCCGGGCTCCGCGCCAAGAAGGTACTGGAACCGCGGGCTCTCGAAGAGATCTTCATCTTCATCGAACGCCGCGGCGAGACGGCTCCGTACATAGACGCTGAAGAACCACTGGTCCCAGTCGGGGATCTTGGTGATGGCTTTTCTGGCCACGCTGAGGACGTCGAAGATGGAGAGGTCTTTGTCGAGCTTTTGCATGTACTTCTTGGATAGGGTTAGTAGGCCGCTCAGCTCGTATTTGGATGCCGCGGCGTAGGCGAGCACGCTGCGTCGGTACTCCGTCTTGGTCCAGTCGCCGCTGTGGCGGAGGGTTTGGTACGTGCCGGTGTGTAGGTAGTGGACGATTGTGTGGGTGATGTCGTCGTCGATGTCTGGGAGGGCGATACAGGGGGTTGTTCGGGTGATGAAGTTCGGGTAGGTGCTTAGGATGTCGGCGAAGACGGGAGATTGCTTGAGATAGTATTCGGGGATGGAGAATTTGCGTTCGCTGGGGCCGAGGAGGACGATTACGAGGCGGGTTTCGTAGGGGCTGTGCGGTGTAGATGATGTATGGTTAGTTGGTGGTTGTGATAGGTGGAGGTGGTGGAGGAGGAGGGTGATGCTCACGATAGCTCGGGCTGCTCATACTCCTCGAGATCGTCGTCGAACTCGGGCTTCACGTTGGGAGTATATCTAGCAGACATGTTGCTGGTGTTGCCGCCGGCGACCATATCTGTAGCCGTACTTGCAGTAGTGGTGGTAGTTGAAGTAGTAGACTTATCCCAACTAATACTAACACTAACGCTCAAATCTTCTTCTTCTTCTTCTTCTTCTTCTTGTTGTTCGTCGTCGTCTTCTTCTTCTTCAGCCAAGAAATAGTATTGAAAGATGACCTCCAGAATGTCGAAGTATGGGTTCAAGTCAAACGGTCAAGCATCAGCACGATAGTTGCTAACACGACCGGACCAAAGTAACGGAGAAAATTCACTACAGATTCTAAAGATGCAACAGGGGGGGGAACACGCAGGATATACCTAACCCTACCCTCCTCTTCTTTACCTCCCCCCCAGCAATGCATTATTCACTCAGTGAGTGAGTAAGACATCAACTCATACCCTATGAGCTGTCCACCCCATGATGATTTCCCTTGGGCCAATGACATGACAACACATCAAGCTGAAGGTGCTTGAAACCCAATGCAGTCCATTCCATGTGCCATGTTTCATCTGGTGGTTTGGGTGGAGAAGATGGTATAAGCTTGATGTGTTGGCGGTTGTTGAGGGTGGGTTGTTATTGGGCAGATTTGGGCGTGAGTGATGCTAAAAAGGCACCGGGTAGGAACTTGTCATCCCCACTTGGTTACTGGCGGGAGAATAGGCATGTCATTGTTGCTGTTGTTGTTATTGCTGCTAACGGAGAATTTTGTTTAGTTGGTGGGGTGGTTTGTGAGGGGAATTTTTCTCCACTTATTGCCAGGACAGTCGTGCGTTTTGTTGTGGTGGGATTTGATTCTCTTGGTCTGGGTTGGAAGAAATGAAAGAGTAATCTGCGGTGGTGGGGATTCTGCACACTAAATATCCCCGACGATAGTGATACTTGATAATCACTCTGTTTAACTGCGCAATCTAGAGCATAGACTTGGTAGGATCTTCAACAGTCAAAATCTCAGCTTTGTATAATTTTGCACTGACAGATAAATCGAGAATTGAGTCTTCTAAAACCAAAGAAAGTTTCCCTCAAAGAAGAGAAACTATAGAACGTGATAGTTCTATTATTATTTCTCTCATATACATCTAAATATTTCACTGCTTAACGTTGATTCAATCAAAAATATAATCCAACCAGCCCATACTCTCCCCCGAAGGCAGCGTGATTCCTGCTGGAAGGAAAATGCAGCTGAGGGGCATGCTATGCACCACAAAGCTGCTGTTGGGGTGTTAGGGTGTTACTTGTAGGTATAATAATACCATCAAAATATACTATAAAAAACTCACGAATAGCCAAATGAAGTCTCTCTTTTGTTTTTTAAAAGAAAAAATTGTAATGGGGCCTGAATATGGAGAAATGCCGGGTGTCTTTCCAATGGCTACTGGTTACGAGCCAAATTTGTTTGGACCCCCAATAGCAAATTCATACTCCCCCCAGTTTGCAATAAAATGGTTTGTGACACTAGCATGGGATATTCTGTGGAATAAGTCGGGTTTCGTGGAATGTCGTTTAACGATAATCAGCACAATGGGATCTGCGAATCCCAAGCAAGGCTCCTCACCCGGTACAATCCATGCTCTTCTGCCGATTGTGATTGCATAATACCGACTGTGTCCTTTATTTGAAGGATCGAGGACCCATGCCCCATTCTGAGCAGATATGCGATTTGCAGATGAGCTTGAACCTTCCTCGCTTCGAACGAGGGGGAATGCCTGGCTTTTGAGATGCAAATAGCCTCGACTATCGAGCGTAGCTGAGCGTGTCGGCAATATAATGTTCATCACATTTACCAGATCTTCGACATTCATAAAACCGGTGGCTGTTCGAATAGTGCAGCCTCCACTTTCCGAAGTGTTTGGAATTGAGGGAAAGCTAGACATGAAGGGACATGGATTTAACTCGAGATATGCCCCAAGCCATGCAGCAGAACTACCTTTCTGCAGCGCAGCCGAGGCCAGGGCCAGGGTTGCTCCCACCCGGTCATCTCGGTGGAATCTGCTGGGATCTAGGCTCACACCGAACAGCCCCATGATACTAAATACCATGTCAACTGGCCGAGAAGAACTTCGTATCCATGTTGCCTTCCACAAAGCCACTTGTAGTTTATCGCTGTTAACTTCACTCAAGTCATTTGGCTTTGATGCCTCTCTGGTAAGCCAAAGAAGGTATGCCTGATCCCTTGTAATGGTCTGCATTCGAAAGCGGATCTCAACCATGTCCTGCTCATGATCCGAGAATTCTAACTTACATGTGAGTAGGATATCTCAAGGAGAAGAAACAGTGTATCATTCAACATACCTTCAAATCGAGACGAGCCGGGCCTTGATGGAGACCCCCCCTCACTGAATGATATGCTGTCGATTCCGCGTAGTCGTGAAAGTTCTTCTTGCACTACATCGTACCCAGGGTCCCCAGGGCGACGCAATTTCAACTTCACCCAGAACCCTTTGCGGACCGCCACAACTAAACCCTGCAATGATAACGCACCCGAATGGAATGGCTCTATTGTTCCGACAGGTTCGCAGTTATGACTGAGGTACCAGTCTGAAAATTTCCATTGAAACACAACCAGCACAACTGGTGGAGCAATCGCTTCCTGTAGCGTCCAAGCTCGCTGAGCCCATGTTGATCGCTCTGTCGGATCGATTAGTCTTCCCAGGCCACCAGGAAGAACCAGGCACACGGCACAGCTCCTGTAGATATCGAACATATGCCGGATTTGCCAATTTTTATCTTCTTTATCCTGCTGCTTTATACACAAGCGGTCTATCCACAACAGGTTACAAGGGCCTATTCTATAACGATATTGTCTCACAGCCCGGCAGCATGTCCTCAGAACATTTACATTGATCGACCCGCCACTTTCGGCACCTCTAACTGAGAATTGGCCAAGTGAAGGGGGCACGAGAGGAGTCAGGCCCTGCCATGGGTAAGAAATCGTGGCAAAACGGTCCCCATCTGTTGGTAGAGCTGAGAAGGAAGTAATTTCCAAGACTTGGTCGTTGAGTAACGAGTCAATGACTAGGAAGCGGAATCGTTTCGCAACCAACTTTGACAAATCCAGCGTAGCTCCATTCAGCTCCGACAGAGGCTTTCTATATTCACAATATTGCGGCATTACCTGAGACGCTTGGGATGGGGAACCGCACTCGAATCTTCTTGTCATATTATCTTGTATAGAGTAGGGTTCTCGAAGGTCCCTTTGTTTGGCTGAACAGGGTGTGAGGATACCTCAACAGCCACATTGAGAGTGTTAGCCAGAATGCTTTTAACATGAGCCTTCGTAATTTATAGGTTAACCTTAATCTAACAGCCTTAAGGCTCTGCGAAAATTTGGGCCGCAACACTTTATGCAGGCCACGTCGGAATCCCATAAAGGTGCATGGCAGTCATGTTTCCAGACCTTACTGGGCGACCGATGTAAGTGGGCCCGATATGCATGGTTCCTTAAGGAAAAATGCAGTTGCGTGGTTCTTTTCTAGGCAGATGACAAAGAAAATCACCGTGGGAATTAAAAAGAAAAGGAGATAATTTTGGGTAAAGGCCAATCATTACTACTTATTCTAAGCCTGGAAAAGTCGGTGGGTTCCCGAAAGGTAAGAGACATGACCTGCATGTGTGGACACTCACGTGCATCCATTAACCAGTATCAGCATATGAGTCCTGTTATAAAAAGTAGCAGAAATATAATTTTGTCGACACCTTAATATAGTAAAGATTGATTTATACGAAGACAAACGGACACATCTGCTTCGTATGAAAGCCTGTAATGGGTAGGATGCTTACTGGGTCGATTACACGTCTCGTCTACCCATAATGCCTACATCTGCCAGTACTCTGTGTGTATGATAGTTGTTTGTATATGCTAAGTCTTAGATAACTTCATAAGCCACGTATTCATCGTAGCGCGTCATAACAGTCGTCACATCATTATGTCTCGTAAACGCTCTCAAATCAGATCATAACTCCATCCCAAAATATGTAACCCCGGTACACCATGCACCGATTTCCCATCAAAAAGCGGAATGCATTCGTAGGTTATCTCTCGTCTGCGAATTCCGAAATATCCCTTTGCCTTTCAGTCCTAACATCGTTGCAAGAACCCCGCGTCGTTTCGATCGTATAGTCGTCTCTGAACCATGTGCTTCCACACGCACCAGTCCGTTATCTGAGGGTTTGGCTGCTGTGGTAGTACGCCGGCTTCGCACCATAGTCTTGACAGCGTTGGTGATCTGCGTCCGGATGGGCGGAAACTCAGACTCCTCGCTTGAAGGTGCCAGATCCGGATCATCTTCGTAGGTCTCTTTCATGACTCGGGCATTGTCTTCTTGGGCTGCTTTTACGCAGCGGATAAGGATGTTGTGGTGGCCTAGGCAGCGGCGAAGATCGGGGGTTTGAGATGCAGCTTCACGTTGCAGCTTGCCGTGGGAAATGGCTGCCAGCTTTCCGGGCATGGCCGGTCGGTTTGTGAGTTGAGAAATGCCCGCACTGAGGCGGGGTGCCCGACGGACTACCGTCGTGGGCAGGTGGAGGAATTCTGCAACTGCAGACATGGTGTTGGGGGGCTGTGGAGACGGATGGTCTTTGAATTGAGCAAAATTGTATCAGATGAATGCATTTGACTGGCGATCTGGATTGCAATGTGGGCGACACGATGCATTATATACTGAATTCCCTGCACTTGTTGAGACATAGAAACCCGCAGCAAAATACCCAAATAGGAAGGAGTAGGCCAAAGCCGTCGTATGCAGGAATTAAGCCTCGTCAACCCGTGGGGAGAAAAGAAGCTCGACCATGGATGAAACACGTAATCCTGGCCTGTCTGTCGCTGGACTCCAAGTCACAACGTCAGTCATAACCTAAACATTGCAGTCCCAGTAGGGCCTGGAATGCCACGCGGCGTCGCTCCCCTCTTTTCTCCCTGCTGAGACGTCTGGTCTTGCTCGGGGTGGCTCTCAGCCAGGGTGGCCACTTAGTCACTCTGGAATTCTCGAGTTCATGGATCGACATTACATTTCCCTTGGTAGGATCAAGCCCGTCATCCCCCTTCCCAGGCTTTCCATTTGCATGTTGACTCGCCGTCACAGCGTAAGTACCTTTTCTCAGATAAGTTCCTGTGCCCTGGTTTGTTCCCCGGTCACGTCCAGGTCCCCCAAAGCATCCAAACCCCCGCGACAGGTTCCAGCGGCAGCACATTCCGCCTCTCATATTGTCCGTTGGGATCTTAGGTAATGAGTGATGAAGCGTTGTGCGTTGAAACACTAGTCTTCTCCACCATGATTCATGGAGATACCGTCATTGATCGCGAAATCAATAGCATCATGACTGGAGGAGCTCATGATGAAGGATAACTCCATCCCTCTGCCACTGATTTGCTTGTAATTCAATATTTCGATGCTGAATGGTATGCTAAGTAAGTGTTTCTCTTGCTCTAATGGCCTGTTTCTCTGGTCCCGAAAGTCTCTGGTAGATTCAGAGTGCACTAGCCAGATCAGCTTCACTAGCGGATCTACTATGAATAGAAAAGCAGCTTATCGACAGAGACTGACTGCCCCGCCATGAACCCCGGGGGGGGGGGGGGGGAAATGGCGTCACAGCCCACAATGATCAGTGCCCAGTTGAGACTGGGACTGCAGGGGCGAGAAAGGGAAGAGACTGCGTCGCAAAAACCCCCTTCCGGCCACGTGCTTCGAGGCCTTCGGGGAGTAAACAATCCACCGACGTTGTATCATCCACTGCAGTCACCCAAGGATTCGTTACAAACAAATCCAGAGTTATAACCTTGTTTGCCTTGGGCTCCATCGCTTATTGGCTGGTAGGCTAGTGCCTAGGAGGTGTTGTTGACGTCGCCACTCTTCTGAAGTCTCGCCCTCGTTACATTCCCAACGTTTGTCGGTTTTTGCCGGCCCTTATTTTGCTGGGGAAGGTGTGAATAAACCCCGCTGCTGCTCATGACACCATTGTTCTATTGTTAGGGGATTTAAGCTCAGTAGCAGCATGCCGATCTTGTGAACAGTTTCAATGATGGGCAGACACAGGATAAATCACTTGTTTGCCATCCTGATCATACGCGATGAGCTTTGGTAATTGGGACAAAGGAGACATGATGATCAATAAGAACGTCTCAAGAATTCTTTCTGACCTGTTCATATTCTCTCGTTGCTCTATGTGCGTCATTTGACACCCACGGATTTGATTTCCTTGCCAGCGATACCTCTAGGCATACTCCAAGTTTCAGACCTCCACATGTGGATGACTTGTTTCAAATGGTTCCACTAACAGATTCGAGCTCCAAAACAGCCCGCTTGATATTATAGGTCCAGACTGGTCATCTGTGAGATCGAACCTCCACATCTCAAATAAAACAAGCGAATCAAAAGCTCCTACAAATTACTCTTGCAGCACACAGACCCCACAGGCTCTGGCGCCTTATACTCGACACTCTGATTCGCCTTCTGGTTAGATGGAGGTACGTCATTCGTCGGATTGAACAGACAGAAATTGTAAGGCTTCAGATGCACCTGAACAATCTCTGCCGGCATAACTGGGAAGTCCTCCACACGGGGATTGTGTGTAAGACCGTAAGTATGCCAGATGACAATATCCTGGTTGCGGACATTCTCCCGGGACTCAACCCAGGACTTGATCCCTGTGCCACCCAGCGACTGGTTTGTGTATCTTCCGGCCGGGAAGAGCTGGTCGTCGTGATACCGGGTGACCCAGATTGAGTGCTCGGCGAATTCAGACCGCCGCCAATGCCAGGAGCCGGGTTTGGCTAGGAGCATCTGTATTCGGTAATTGGGATTAGTATCACTACTTTATGTTGTGTCCGATAACTTCTGCTTCATGTTCTTGATCTCTGGTCCCTCCAATCTGCTGCTGATTCTGGGACGTTGGGTAGGGAGGACCTTACCTGGGACCTATGAGGAACGAGTTTATACCCCAGCGGAGTACCCGAGACCGGGTTCTCGATGTTTTCATTCAGGATTTGGAAGACTCGGCCTTTGCTGACATCGTCTTCGACATGACCTGCTCGGTCCAGAATCGTCTGCTCTGTCACATAGCCTGTACCGAGGGGATTGAGTTGATTGTCCCATGGCATGGCCACAGAATCTGTGGAAGCAAAGCTGTTGTGCACACCGCCAATCGCAGGATCAATACGAAGGCTAAATAAGTGCTGGTGGTACGGGGCCATGACACCATCTGCTACCCGGGTTCCCCACGGGACCACGACGTCTTTGCCAATAGGCTGAGTGGAGAGGATCCCAGTTGCTCTGGTCTCGAAGGTGATTTCACCAGACTGGTCAAAGTACCACATGAAGATGTATTCATAATTGGCCACTGTAATGATATTCTGGAGGACCAATTGCCGCTTGCGTACTACTGTTGCTTTGCCAGTACGGTGATTGGTGTGCTTCCATTGGATCCCGTTGTCGATTTCGTGGATACAGATTGCATTTGGTCGGGGAGATGCGTCGCCGTCCACTGAAACGACGTGACCATCTATATACTTGATCATACCGAGACAGTCGCAGCCAACTGATCGAATAAGCTTGGATACTAAAAATGAAGGAGCCAGTACTTACGCTGCAGGTTGTTGGCCGTCACACCTGCACCCACATTTCCCAGGTCAAACGCAGCCTTACGGTATATGGGATTGCGTGGATCACCATACGGAACAAACATCTCAGCGAGTGATAGACGGTAGAAATTGCTTTTACCGTCGAAAGAGAGGTCATGCAGCGTTAATCCTGTCTATAGTCAGAAAACGGTCTATCCAATTGGGATGCGATAATACCTTCGCGCCAGTTGAAACCAACTCGAAATCGCCATTTCTCCCACTCAACAAGATGACCCTTGACAGTAAAGGAGGCACCCTCTGGCTGAACCACCTGGTATGGCTTCAATGTCATCCGAGGGGGAGTCTTCTGCAGACGGTGGTCATATTCAGGCTCCTCTGGAGCCGTACGGCGATGAGGCACGTTGAAACCTTGCGTCACGCTCTCATCGGCCCCAAGAGGAAGCCGGATAATCTTCTTCACCTTCATGGCACACAAGTTAACAGTAACCATAAAGTCTAGCGGAAAGCTGTAGTGATTGGAGTCTGGATCGTTATTTGCCGGGTTTCTCATGTACATGAACACCTGAGCGTGCCTCGTCTGTGTATCCTCGCCATCCACACCATAGTCCCACGGGTCGAGGACGACTGTAGTGTCATCAATCTGCAGGCGCTTAATCTCCGCCTGCACTGCAGGATCAGCCATGACAGCCTGGGCTACTTCATTCATCTCCGCTCGGTCGCCCGGACCATGGAAGTCTCGGGGAAGCTCAGCATGACGAACGAAGGTGCCATTGGTTACATCCACCACTGCTTCGAATAACCGAGGCGTCCTTTTAATGTACCAGTTGAGGAATATGCATCTTGGCAGAAAAGGTAGGGGTTTGTTGTTGTGTTCAGCGTCCAGGAATTCGAGCAGAGCCGCCTTGGGTGGTTCTTGCAGACCACCGGCCTTGAAGTGCAGGGGAATCCCAGGATAAGCGTCTTTGACCAAGGTGGTAGCCTTTTCGATCTCGACCGCGGTAGCGGGGTCAAGAGGGTGAAGTGACATTGTCTCTCGATGAATGCAAGACTAGATGTGAAAGGTGGGACGATAGTTTCGGTCGCTGTCGGTGGCCTGCGTATTCTGGGCCAGGGTCGGTGGTCCGCCTTATGTAGCGAACTCCCTTTGGGCCCAGTCAACACGCTGCGCGACAGGGTCTATCGAGAGATTGGGTGTAAATACAATTCTACTCGTCAACCGTCTGGATTTGGGTAAGCGGAGCATGTGTGAGAGTGCAACGGCGGGCCGAATCGATGAACTGTCCATGAAGAGCTGCATGTCACCCCCGCACTGATTGAAGGCGGATTGGATGAAGCTTCCGGTCAGATTCCGTCCGTTCGGGATTCGTTCGATCCTCCGTTCATTCATCTCGCTGTGGGAGGCTAGAATTATCTGTTATCAGTTGTTTATTCGTTTCCTGTCATGACTACCGCTGATAAGTGTTAGATACAATCCGGAGACGCAAAACAAGAAGTCGCACTATAACCATACCGCCATAGCGCATGTGGCAACTAACGAACACACAAATAGGGAAATAAATATGATATTTCATTTTCCCTTCATATGTGCAAATCAAATAGCTTCAATACACCCCCAATAGAATGTAGGATTTTATCGATGTGATGAAACTGAACACAACTAACCTACACCAATTGGAAAACCACAGATTGAAGCCAGTCTCCCTCAAAATATATAGTAGTAGAGAATACTGAAAGTACCGATCGGTCTTATTATGCTTTGAAAATAATCTGGCATTCCAAATAGTAGTACAATTCGCTCTAAATTCGACATGGTGATGGCCATAATATATAATGTCAGCAGCCACCTCACATTATCCCCTACATGTCCATACTGAAGAATCAGACCCAAGTCCCTGTTAACCAGGCCATGTGCACCCTTCACTGACAAAAACAGCAACTAGTACTGCTCCACAGATGAACAACATATAATCCAAAGTATAGACGCACTTTCAATGATTGACCACTTACCTGTCCGGCTAACACATAGCTGCGTGATGCCCGCGCAGCAAGGGTTGTATTGCACATGGTTTTAATGGTCTTTTCAAGATTGGAAACAATGTAACTCACAGAAATCAGTCCTACTACTCCTACTACCAGATGCTGGGTTCCATCATCCATCTGCATTACAGTAATATAGTGCATGACTCACATAAATTGGAACAAGTAGTAGTAAATCTGACAGCAAGAACAACAATCAGGCCAGTATAGGACCTGTGGTAAGTAGTATA